ACAATAACGTATATCTTCAACATACGTTGTCTATGAACAATGTAAGAAGTTCAGTGGACTTTTAAAATTTGCTTTGCTTGATATACAGTTAGTATTTTTTTCTTTTGATTTAGTCGAGTTGGTTTTGCATCAAACACAATGTGATTTTCGGCAATCGAGATCTGACAGGAACAGCACATTTTTCCGCTTGGGCGAGCGCTTCACGGACAACTTACCTCGTGCATGAAATCTCCCACAGACCAGCAAAACACTGAGAACGCGCTACAATCCTGAAGAGTCATAGCAACAGAGCGGAGGCTAGAAAGCTGCGAAGAATCCGCTCGCCCGGAAGCTTCCGTCACTAACGTAGATTTAGAGAAAATGACTGCCGTTTGGCAAATAAATCATTTTACGTACTTATCTTAACTCTTTAAGCTTTAAGTTGCATTTCAAATGATAAAGGATCAACTTAATCATGTTTATATGAATTATCCCGTGAACTTATTCTCTCAAATGGCCTGGGTATGCGGAGCATTCACAGCTTATATAGACGGAACGCCACTGCCCTACTCATGATTTTGTTAAGCTTTTATGTGTCTTGTAAAAGGTGGTTGCTAACAAGTGACTAAATGGGACTACAGAGGTTGTCAGGAACATTAAACGGCATCACGCCAAACTAGAAAACTCATCAAATCTCTAGTCCACTTTTAAAGCCTTGTTGCGTTTATTGCATGACAATTCTAACTCAAACTTTCCAACTTGTAGATATTAAATAAAGACTGCAAGAGCTGTCGGAAACTTAAGAGTGGTGATGCTGAAGCCATGTGACCGTAGTGTAGTTCTTTTATAGCTTAATTTTAGCTTTTTACTTTTGGCGATTGTATTTAGGCTTCAAAATTCATAAAATCTGTGTTCATTTGTATCTTGAACAAAACGTGTAGGAATCACACACTTCTACTGGTCACAGACCTTATTTTCTAACTATCCAAAAGACATTCGAAAATTCCTGCTGACCTCGAGGGAAACAAGGTGATGCTATCTTCCAGGTTATTGGCCTGTAAAAAATTTCATCCCTGCACTACTCTTTATATAATTGTTTTAACACCCTGTATTTTTTCGTATGTATTTTAGGTCACACATCACATAATTTTTTAAATATTGTTTAACAATGGAAGTCCTATTGTTGACTACACTACAGTTCATTGGTTTTTGTACGATTTTGTCATTATTATTGTCCGTAAACCTGGTGATGAGTTAGGCCTATGTAATTTTTTACACTAATAAAACGCAACAGATTTTGTGTGAAAATTAATCATACAAGTCGTTTATTTTGTTTAAAAATCTTATAAATGTATGAGGTGGCAAGGGGAGCCTTTTACCCCACACACGGGGTAAAAGGCTGGGGTAAAAGTCACATGGTATTGATACAATACTTCAGCTAAAATAATGTTTTTTTAAATAATGTCTAAGTTAATACTTGTTCAAAACAATCACTTCAGCAAAGTTTTTACTATTTTCTGCTTATTTTGATAAATAAAATAATTTTTGTTCAATAAATATACTGTGATTAAAATATTTTAATATAAAACTATTTTAAAATACAGAAACAAAATCATTTTAAAAAGTAAAGATTCTGAAAACATTGAAGGAGATCCTATAATAATTTAATACAGATTTTCAGTAGTAAAAACAAATGATATTTTATTATATAACTAAACTTGTTATCCTAAACAGGGTGATTATCTCTAAGATGGACACCCAACATCATATATGATATTTACCATCTGAATCTAACCATGTCATGTCAACAAATGGAAAAGTCAGCCTTCTATTAATTATCAGGTTAATTATTGTGCCTTTAGCCCCAACAGCAGGGGCGCTTTATACCCCAAATGCCATTTTATTCTTTCGTTATTTAAAAACTGTTGCTTTAATTATCTTAAACAAAAGTGAAAATCATTAAGAAGACCTTTATTGTCTCAAAATATATTCCATAATTTTAGCGATTCTCATTTGCTACTTAAATCTACAACATTTTTTAAAAAAAACATAAAATATTAGATCAAGCAAGCACAAAATCAACTTTGCGCTGCTGCCCGCGATCGCGTCAAGGATCGTCTAGTGATGGGTCGTTCTTGACCGATTCGAATCTTTAATGTGACTCGGGAAGAACGAGTCTTCTCGGGGAGTGATTCGTTCAGTCGCGCATGCGCAACATCCTATAGGTTCTGTACTGGAATTATGCTGCGTCTCAATGTGCCTATTTATAATACGCCCTTAAAGTATGTACTCTTTTGGTGAAGAAAAAGTACACACTTTTGAGTGTGTAGTAGAAGAGTAGGCAAGCTTTGGGACATACTATCACGTCACACAACTGCGTCTTTAACGGATGCTCTGTCGCATAGATACACGCACCCTGTCACTGTAAACTGGCCTGTCAATCATCTTGTCACAGTTAACATCCTCCACATTGAAATATAATAATATAATAATATTTTTACCAGGTTAAATGTTGATTATTAGTAACCCAAAACCCTTAACAACAAGCGCTTACTCTACACTGCTCAAACTCGCGTTTGAATCATCAGTGGCAAATTCTTTAAATATAAAAAAATTTACTTACAGACTGCGAGTCAGAAGCGCCAGACTGTCCTTGCAAAGTTGGAACTGCCCCACTTTATAGAACAGTCTTTGAGCACAGACCCATTGTAGACTATGCAGAACTGCAGGTTCAGGAAACTGTCCTCCATAAAATGCGTCACACGGCGTCACACACAGCGGGCTAGAGTGAGGAACGGCCGGCAGGCTTGCGGCAACCACATGACAACAATACTACAGCGAGAATAAAAGTTACGTCTTCTTTGCGTGAACATTTGGGCGGTGTTATGCAAATCTCCCCACACATTGAGGTAGACATGTGGGGTGTGTTTAAACGAGGCGTTTTAGGAGGGCCTGGACCAGTCTTAACTTTTATAAAGAATATCTCTTTGGATTTGAGACTTTAGTCTTTGCAACTTTATAGATCTTCTTTATGCACCAAGAGTTTGTAACACTCCAAAGAGAAAGGAACAATTTAAATCGCATCATATGACCCCTTTAAAGGTTTCTGCGCCACTACTGTCGCCTAACGGAAGTACAAAAATAGGCCTACAGCATGTTTTCAACCTTTGCAAACGCCCCTTTCACGCGTCAGTCTTCTCCCAGCTCAAACATCACAAATATAGCACTGGGTCTACATCTATAAAAGTGGAGGCATGTCTCTCAATAAATGGTCCAACATATTAGTAAAAATGTTATCTTGAAGTTTAGCTTACCTGTCGAGAAGAAACTCTGTATGTTCGTTGTGTCGAACCCATTTCATCAAATTCCTCCCTCTTGTAAAAACACTGCGGTCCAAATGCAATGATTGTACGAACATTTTATGGTCCTGAGTCTTCCACAGAATACATATATTTATATTTGTACATTTAGACCACCTTAGTTATTAATTCAAATCAGGTTGTGAAGACACTCTAATGAGGAAAATTACCGAGTGCTGCACCACCGTTACTGCTGGTGCTGTTCCTTTCTCTTCCGCTAGAGGGTACAACACACACTCTACCCGCTAAACGCAGAACAGCACACACTTCCTGTGCTCGCTCGGGTTGTTGATAAACAGCGAGCACATGCTGAGCACAATTTTTGTCGTTTTGTCTCATAACAAAATGACAACAACTTTGATTTAAATACTAATTTAGTTGCTTGACATTTTGCAGTTGCCATGTCTCTGCTATTAAACGCTGCACAATGAAATACTTCACTACTCAGGTATGTATGGTGTGACAAATACTATTCGCCACAGTTAGAATACAGTATGCAGACATTAGTAACTGTATTAGTTAGTAGCTTAATTTGTAGTCGCATTACTATATTTGGTCGCCGTGATTTTGCCAAGTAAGACGTTCCTGGATCAACATCTTTTGTTGATCCTGGATCAACATTACTGTCCATAAATATAGACTAAACCCTGATCATAAGCCTAAAACAGATATTTCCTGAAAAGTTATCCCTCAATTCTGATTGGTTAATTGGAATGCTGTTCCAGTATCAACAAGGATGTTGATCCAGGAACATGTTGTACTTGGTGAAATCACGGTCACCTACTTTATTTATATACATGGGGCATTTTTCGTTTTCATTATAGCTGTTTTACCTGCAAGTTTGTTGCATTATCCAGTGAGAGTTTGTATCTGCCAGTGCAAAACTATTTCATGTTTTCATTGTGATTTCAATAATGTTATACTTAAACATCATATTTGTAGTGCAGTGCACACTTATAAGTGCACTGATTTACGCAGCTGTTTTATTTGTTCATAGGGCATTGATGGATTTTATAACAGAGTTTACCACAGCCATGTCATGTGTGATTTTGTCTGTCTCATCATTGCATGCTGCTTATCGGCTATTCAAGGTAAACATCCATTCAGTGTCTTGAATGCAGCAACTGTTAGTAAGATGCATATGCACTGTTATGACTTTTTTTTCTCTGTTCGCAGGACCACAGAGCCTCATCAGTGGGCTTCCTCCTGATTGGCTTTTCCTCTGTCCTTTCAGTCTTTTCTCCCAGTAACCAAACTATCAAATCACTCATGAACGATCTAGAATGGGCAGGTGAATCACTTGGTCCTGCTCTTATTACTTTTGACTTCTTGTGGCTAAGTGAGGACCACATCACTGCTCGTATTTAGACCACCTTAGTTATTAATTCAAATCAGGTTGTGAAGACACTCTAATGAGGAAAATTACCGAGTGCTGCACCACCGTTACTGCTGGTGCTGTTCCTTTCTCTTCCGCTAGAGGGTACAACACACACTCTACCCGCTAAACGCAGAACAGCACACACTTCCTGTGCTCGCTCGGGTTGTTGATAAACAGCGAGCACATGCTGAGCACAATTTTTGTCGTTTTGTCTCATAACAAAATGACAACAACTTTGATTTAAATACTAATTTAGTTGCTTGACATTTTGCAGTTGCCATGTCTCTGCTATTAAACGCTGCACAATGAAATACTTCACTACTCAGGTATGTATGGTGTGACAAATACTATTCGCCACAGTTAGAATACAGTATGCAGACATTAGTAACTGTATTAGTTAGTAGCTTAATTTGTAGTCGCATTACTATATTTGGTCGCCGTGATTTTGCCAAGTAAGACGTTCCTGGATCAACATCTTTTGTTGATCCTGGATCAACATTACTGTCCATAAATATAGACTAAACCCTGATCATAAGCCTAAAACAGATATTTCCTGAAAAGTTATCCCTCAATTCTGATTGGTTAATTGGAATGCTGTTCCAGTATCAACAAGGATGTTGATCCAGGAACATGTTGTACTTGGTGAAATCACGGTCACCTACTTTATTTATATACATGGGGCATTTTTCGTTTTCATTATAGCTGTTTTACCTGCAAGTTTGTTGCATTATCCAGTGAGAGTTTGTATCTGCCAGTGCAAAACTATTTCATGTTTTCATTGTGATTTCAATAATGTTATACTTAAACATCATATTTGTAGTGCAGTGCACACTTATAAGTGCACTGATTTACGCAGCTGTTTTATTTGTTCATAGGGCATTGATGGATTTTATAACAGAGTTTACCACAGCCATGTCATGTGTGATTTTGTCTGTCTCATCATTGCATGCTGCTTATCGGCTATTCAAGGTAAACATCCATTCAGTGTCTTGAATGCAGCAACTGTTAGTAAGATGCATATGCACTGTTATGACTTTTTTTTCTCTGTTCGCAGGACCACAGAGCCTCATCAGTGGGCTTCCTCCTGATTGGCTTTTCCTCTGTCCTTTCAGTCTTTTCTCCCAGTAACCAAACTATCAAATCACTCATGAACGATCTAGAATGGGCAGGTGAATCACTTGGTCCTGCTCTTATTACTTTTGACTTCTTGTGGCTAAGTGAGGACCACATCACTGCTCGTATCCTCCTGATTGGCTCTACTTTTTTCATAATGCTCTCTGATTGGTTATCATCAGATGGGTTGGTCATTATGTCACGCTGCCTGGCATTTTCCACCCTCTCCTGTTCGCTGACAGTGTGTGCGTTTGCTGAAAATGCAGCAGGGGCAGTAGGGAGTGTTGCCCTCAGTCTGCCTTTATTAGTTTCCCCAAGGACCAGATCTGGGTCTTTGGGTTCCCTCGTGATGCCTACAGAAGGACTTCTCAGATGGATCCTTAAAGTCATCATGGCATTAGGATGCTGGACCACTGGGAAGGCCCTTAATAAATACCTGTTTGATTTAAAAGGCTGGGACTGACTAAAGCAATGGATTCCAAAGACAACAGAGAACCACAAAATGCTACTTTCGTACTCATATTATTATCAACACTGTGTTACTGTTGCATGTAAAGGCCTTCTCTGTCTTAATAAGCTAACATTATATTGTAATGTACTACAGAAACTGGAGGGTTTTTTTTACATTTGTAATCAAATAATGGAGTTTGCTTATAACATTAAATCCATTACACTGACATTGAGGTCTAGTAAAATCCATGAGCAATGAATAAATTGTTTTAGCATCTACAACAATGAAGTCTTTGTAAAGAAAGAATGGGACTCTGTTTAAACCAGTGTTGCCATGTCCTGTCATTATGAGCAACTTTGGTAAATGTGCATGATAAATTTACTCATTAATTTAGATGTCCAGTTATATATGTGAATTTTTTTTTTTTTTTTGTAAAATAATATAATTATTAAGATGTCAAAAATGCAACTTAAAGAGATAATTCACCCAAAAATGACAATTCTGTCATCATTTACTCACCCAAACCTGCATGAATTTACATAACATTTACATTTATTCATTTAGCAGATGCTTTTATCCAAAGTGACTTACAAATGAGGAATAGAACAAGCAATTCATCATAATTTCTTTCTCCTGCTGAACACAAAAGAAGATATTTTGTTTAGTCACTGCAGGTACATGTAGTTTGTTTTTCTTGTGAGATCTCATCTCTGACAACACTGGTTTAAAGATGCTTAGTATTATATGTTTGTGCAGAGGACGGGTTGATTCAAACAATGAAGCACAGAAAAGAAACATCAGTGTATGCTGTTACAATTAATTTTTATTTATATATATTTTTAACCTGAATTGGCAGGTTTGGTGAATAAGGCACTAACTTGTGTAATTCAAAATTAGGATTTTGCATGGATTTGATTATATGAAACATGTTGAATAAAATATTAAAGCCAAAACCAAATAGAGACATTATTTCTTGCTCACTGGATGTGATGTTATTTTAAATATGCTGGTGCATCTTGTTAATGAGGTGTTCGGCAATCATGAAGGACACATGGGAATCGCAAGCCTAGATTTAGTGCTTGTAGTGCACTAATGTAAAATCCTTTTAGGAAGTCTCCATTGAGATATGATTTTAAATTAGCCATAAGACTTATTTCTTCAATATTATGACACTTGCGATAGGGAAGGGGAACGCGATGAGGATGGTCCATTACAGTCAGGATTTAGTATCCTGGAGGCCTGAGCATAAGGAACTTTAATCATTCTGATTGATGATTATCCCTGGCACTTTGCAAACGATTGTATCATTAGACAGAGCATGGTATCAATAAAGTGTCACATCAGTTTTAAATTTATTGTAGTAGCAGTAACCCTCCTACTTCTGCCTCAGTTTAGTGGTGCTAGCTAAGGGAGGCACCTTTTGGTTTTGCTTATGCAATTGACTGTGGAATTGCTTTTGCTTGTACTTTTTAAAAACTCCTGACCCTCAGTATTAAACTTAGAGGCAAATGATACCCTTTATGCCTTATTTTTGCCTAGTAGACAATTAAACGGACAAAAAAAAATGTCCTAGTATATAGGTACTGAAATGTCACAGAACCTTGCAAGTGGGCTCATTTGACTTGTAAACAACTAGCAACCACCTAGCCCCAAAGAGTCATCCAGAACACCCTATCAAACAACAAGCAACCACTCTAGCAACTACCTTGCAAACACCTATAATCAACCAGAACACTGTAGCAAACACCCAGCAACCATGTAGAATACTCTAGCAAACACCTAGACCCCAACAACCATCCAGAACATTCTAGAAAACAATTATTACTAGTTACAAAACCATAGCAAACACTTAGCAACCATTAAAAACACCCTAGCAACAACATAGAATACTCTAGCAAACAACTAGCCCTAGCAACCATACAGAACAATCTAGCAAATATTTAGCAACTATCTACAACACCTTAGCATACACTTAACAACTATCTATAAGTACATTAGCATACCTTAGCGTAGTGTATCGTAACTTCAATAACAAAAAAAAAGCCAAGTTCTGTCATGAAACTCTAGATGGCGCAGGCTGATGGGTCGTTTATGATTTAGCGTTAAACTACTTGGAACAAGCTGATTGGTTCATGTTGCATACACAACCAATAAGCATGCTGCTTTGCATTTAAATGGCTGGTTAGCATCCACTACAGCATTTTGCAGCACGCTTTCAGAGTTACTCTGAAACCCTCCACCTATATGACAGTGTTAATGTTTTTGGTCTTGGTGGAATAGACCTGCTACGCTGCTGCTGCGGCAGAGCAAGTACTGAGACTTGTTTCTTCCAATACATCCACAACAATGCTGCTGTGAGCATGTAAGAAATACTGCTGCTGCACATATAACATAAACGAAATAACCCCCATATAGCATACATGAATCCAATGGGTCTATAGCAGATCTATACAGGTGGAGCTGGGTAAGGTGGAGGGTTTCTGAAGCACGCTGCAACTGCTACAGCAAGCACTAGCCAAGCATTTGAATGTTAAGCAGCGAGCTCATTGGCTGCTGATACAAAAAAAAAAAAATCAGCTGCGCCATGTGATGTCATTATGTCAGATTGAGTTAGACCTATCGGACTGCCCAATCTAGAGTGTCATGACAGAACGTTGGATATATGGATCATGTCAATATAAAAGAAACTATTTAATAAACAAAAAAGTCACTCCTAAAAATTTTGAAAACCCCTGCCCTAGCAACCATCTATGTTACCCTACCAAACACCAAGCAACCACACAGAACACCCTAGCAACCACTTGGCACATAATAAACATCTTGAATACAGCATAAATCATATAACAACATGCTAAAACCACTCAGAACACTTTAGCAACCATGTAATAACACTCTGGCAACCTACCACAACTCCCTATTGCCCAGTTTTGCACCGCAAAGACTTTAAGCTCTATGAGTTTGTGTTAATTCACAATCTTGCTGTGTTAGAAACTAAGGAAACAAATACTTCTGGTTCTCATGATACATCACCATAGAATCCTTTTCTATGGTTGTCACTTTGAATTTATCGATATCAGAATGCTTTGTTGAGCACCTGTCTTCCTGTTCCCCCTCTCTCATCAATCTCCATTAGTTTCACCCCACCACTGCAGTGCATGGCACCTCTGCGCTGAGCACACTCAAACACTGGTGAGGATAGAGAGGAAGGGGGAGGAGAGAGATGATACTGAGAGAGAAGGAGAAGAAGGAGGGGTAAAAGGAAGCCAGGAATAGCAGGTTGGACAGATGTGCGGAGTCAAGAGCTGGTGTTGCCATCCAAATCCCAGGGAACAGGCACAGAATCATCATGTAGAGTTTCAAAGCTGAAGAATGAGAATGCAGTGACTGCAGTTGTTTAGGATCAACCTCAAGCAGATAGTAAGACTCTGCGAAACATTGGGAATAGCATCATTCTCTGGAGCTTGACGACAATGGGAATGTCATCCAGACTGGATTTGTTGTGGTGGATTTGCTTCTGGCGCAGCGGTTTAGTAACACTTGTCTGATTGCATTGCAGTGTGAGAAGATCATAGGGATGCTGTGAAGCCAAAGCATTTATTTCCAGCCGCTGTCGTTGTAACATCCGCACCTCAGGAAACATGTATGCCTTCTATTCTCTGCTGGTGTACATCTTCTACACCGTTTTCAAAAAGGAGGATGAGGCAGCACTCGAGGGGGCGTTCGGAGAATCCCCGGAGGTATGTGTGGCCACAGCGGACAGACGCCGATAGACATGCTAATATATGCATTCTCTATTGTCTGCATAAAATATGTGCCAACAAGTCTTGGTAGAAAAATTGAATGATTTGATTTTTTTTTTTATTATATTTATTTAAGTAAAAAATAATAAAAATGTTTATAACATAAATTGAAATATAAAATCAAATAAAAGGATTTTATAAAATATATATTCAATATAAAATATAATATTATAGGCAATATAGAAACTAAAGGCAATTTCACCGAGGTGATAATTCGATAATGCACGCATGCACAGTCACGTATCGTATGTCCTCAGCGGTGGCTTTAACACCTTCCAATAATCACATTCATCTTCCTCTGTAACTGACAGGAGCCTGGCCATGTTTCCATGGAAACAGAGAGCAAGGGGAAGGGTAGCCACACCCCCAGGTTGGGCAAAAGAGGGTGTGCAAGTCTGAGTGATTCGAGTAAGAATGTTTCTACAAATGTTGTTTCGCTACATGATGTTCTAAATACAATGAAGTGCTGCTCCATGCACTCAGCATACCACCACAATTGCCTTTTAAATTGCAGGCAGCAGTAGTGATAGCGATGGGACGTCCCTCAGTGATGAAGATGATGAATTTGACGAAGGTCATGGATTACCTGCCAAAACACCATTAACAGCTTTCCTGTCTTTCAAGCAAGAGGCAGAAAGGAGAAGAGCCACTAATTCTCCAGCAGAACCAAATGAAAAGGTGAAAACCTTCAAACTACATTCACATATGCCACATGTTTCATAGTGGTGGTGGTGGTTTGGTGAAGTGGTAGTTTGCAAGATTTGAAAAGGCCACTAATTGTATGTATTTAACTTTAACTTAAAATGCAAAGTTTGTTCTGTGATTATGAATAATACCTCACATTTTGTGGCTTGAAGAGGTGTGCTATTGTGTTTCTAAATAAGTAAATTTGATAAAATGACAGAAAAGACTTGCATTGAAGGATGAACCCAAGTCAAGGACCTCATTAGACCTTAGTCAGGGTAGATGCCATATTTAATTTTTCATGAATTAAAATGAGGCTGAACATTGATTGTACTGTACGTCCCTCATTTTCATTACAGAAAAATTCAATATGGTGTCCTAATTTGGTGTTCTTGGGAAAGTAACCACTAAGAATTCATATTTAAAGGGTTAGTTCACCCAAAAATGAAAATTCTGTCATTAATTCGCTCCGAGAATACTTTTTGTACGCAAAGAAAACAAAAATAACGACTTTATTCAACAATTCGTCTCCTCCGCGTCATTGCCATTTTGGAGAGTATCCACTGAACGCATACAGCGTATGCTATTCTGTGTCAGCTGCGCCATGTGGATACATTGTTTTCGTTCAAATCAAAGCGTAAACGACGTAGAAAACGTATCCGCGTGACGCAGCTGACACAGAATAGCATACGCTGTTTGAGACGAATTGTTGAATGAAGTCGTTATTTTTGTTTTCTTTGCGTACAAAAAGTATTCTCGGAGCGTTGTAAAATTACGGTTGAACCCCTGATGTCACATGGATTATTTTACCGATCTCCTTGCTACGTTTCTGGACCTTGATTGTGGTAATTACA